GCCCATCGGCTGTGCCCGTCACTCCTGTTTGCCTGGTCTCTGAGCTGGTTGCTTTCTTGGTAACGTCCCCCAAGCTCTTGCCTCCTGGCTCCAGCCTGAAGTACCTGCAAGGTCCCCACGTGTCCCAGCGGGTGCTCGGTGAGCTCCGGCTCATCCTGCTTAACGGTGGGAATGAGTCTGGCTCCGATCAGCTCCCCTCGGGGCCTCTGAGCCGGGCGTGTGGGGAGAGCCACCTGGAGAACGTCTCTGGGGAGCTGGCCTCACATGGACACAGGAAGGAAACAAGTGTCCGTCATCAGTGTTCTGATTTCGTCTGTCTCTACAATTCTGGGAGACATCGGGCACTGGCTGCTGGAATGTTCCCTGAGGTCAGAAAGGGCCAGGGCTCCAGTGTAGCATTTGCTCGGCTGCAGACACACCTGGTGTCCCGTCAGGCAGGAGGCATGTCCCTTAGGAACCGTCTCCTCCTCCCATGGGACACGGTCCTGAAGGAGGCCTCTGTCACCAGCGGGAGCTCCCTCCGCCCCAGCGCCGTCCCGTTTCCGTCCACCCTCCCCTGCGGGGCCCTCGTTCCTGGAGGTCAGTGCACTCAATGTATTCACACCTGGGTGGTATCTGTCCTTGGGTCCTGTTCTGGGGGCCCTGCGTGTCTCCAAGTCAGGCAGGGGTGGGGTGGTAAGTGGGGGCGTCTTGGGGAGGCGCCTGCTGAGAAGGAGGCTTCTGCCAGAGGGGCCTTCCTGCGGCAGGTGGAGGAGGCTGGACCGCTCTGTGGGCTCGAGTCGGTTTACTTGGGACTAGCGACCGGAAACCACACCTGCCACATCCCATACACGCCGGTTTCGGTGGATTTGCTGCTGATCTCGGTGCTAGAAATTGCTGGGCCTCGGGAGACGCCTGATAAGCAGAATTTCACGAGGGAGACGACTTCACACAAGCGACTGCAGTCCGGTCTGCTGCCAGCGTGGGGGTCTGTAATTTTACGAAGGCGAGTTTGCCCTTTCGGGGCTCCTCGGCTAGAAGACGGCGGGGGCTCCTGGGATGGAAGGAGCCGGCTCGGGTGGGATTCTGGCACAGACACGGCCCCACGATGACCGTTGTTCCCGCCGAGGTCACAGGTGTGACCCTGAGGTCACGTCCCATGCTCCGCCAGCCCCAGGATGGACCTGCTCCTTCCCGCTCTGACTCGGTGGTGACAGAGCTCTGGCCGCCTCATTTCCTGCCAACACCTGGGCAGGGTGCTTCTAAAGCTCATCTTGAGTGTCTACACCCCCTCTTGGGTATTGATCCTATATCCTGTTGTTTTGTGTCCAGGACGAAAGTCAGTGTTTATTGCCTAGAGTGGAATGGACACTTGGACCCAGCGTGCGCAGTAGCCTTGGTCGTGCCTGGGCGTGGCCTCTGACCGAACCCCACCTGAGCACCCAGTGTCTTCCTGCCTCTGGCCAGCACGTCCAGCAGGCGTGGGAGCTTCCTGGTCACAATACCGATATCCCCAACCCAATTTTGAGGAGAAACAGGTGCAGTAGAAGGCAGGGCTGGGAAGAGGTGGGACCCGAACGGAGTCCGGGAAGCCTACCGGGCTGGAGATGCAGCCTGGGGCCACCGGTCACAGGAGGGAATCAGAATGACCTTCCCAGACAGGCCGGGCGGCTGGAGGTTGCCGTGGGATCCGCTGCCATTGGGACACAGACTGGGCAGAAGGGGAGGGGAACCCCTGCCGGAAGGAAACGCAGGGTCAGGGAAAATGGGCACACGTGAGTGTCCTGTCCGTCCACATCTCACCTGGTGGTTCCTCCCCAGTTGAAACACCGTCTGGGGTCAGTGACTCAGCTCCCCTGAGGGCTGTGAAACAGTGGTATCTGGTCACACCTGTCTGCCCCCTCTGGTGGCTGCCATTCTCCTGCGAAGCAGAGCCATTGGGAGGCAGGAGTGGCTGAGTCCCGTCTCTGGAATCATCAGTGTGCAAAGTAACGGTGGTCCTGGCTAGGACTTGCCTATAACACACGGACACAGAAAACCGTTATTGAGGATGCTTGGGAAAATTAGAAGATAATCTGGGTGTCAGACTGGGGATGTTGTCTACAGGGAAAATGTTGCTCTCGTGACTTACATGCAGGCCAGCAAAACCAAAAACTCTTTCCTTCCCTAAGTGACCCCGAGAGTCACTCACTCCTCAAGAGTACGAGGAAATCAGGAAGACTGCGGGCGTCTTGCACGCACATGTGCACACACGCTCCCTAGCAGCGTGGGGTAGCCGGCACAGCTCAGACTGGCGTGGGATTTTACACGTCTGGACTTTGAAACCTCCTCTCCTTCAGTCCTGCCCGCGTCCCCTGTGACTGAGACTCAAGCTCATTTGAGGAGAAGGTTGACGGTTTAGGGTCGAACGTGGGCAGTTGTGTGCTGTTCTCGGGTCTTCGTCCCTCCTGCGTCCTCACTCGTCCCGGACTTTGGGTTTGGACACGCGACTCGCTTTGGCCGATGGACGGAGTCAGATGGGACGGGGCCGATTCCACGCTGAGACTGAAGACACCTTGGATGTGTCCTGGGTCCTCTTACAGCTCTGCTCTTGTCCTGAGAAGGACAGGCCTAGGCTAGCCCACCGGTCCTGGGGAGACGAGGCACGTGGTGTGGGTTCAGACCAGGCCAGAGGTGCCCCACGGCTGACCCGTGAGTGGGTCCCGCCAGACCACTGGAAACCCCTGCGAGGAAGGCCCGGGTTAGCCGACGTCAGCAGGTCTGCAGGCCCGTGAAGACAGACGGCTGCTGTTGCAGGGCCTGTTTCGGGGAGAGTCATGCCGTCCTCCGTGGCAATAGCTGACCGACAGGGTCCCCTTCCAGTCCGGGCAGCCAGGAGTACGTGGGCGTCCCGGTCCTACAAGTGCCTGGGCCCCTCACCCCACCGAGACAGCAGCTCTGGAAGAGTTGGGGGAGCCTCCTCCCTACCGCATCAGTGAGGATACCAGGCGCTGTCGGGCTCCACTGCTTTCCAGACGCTTAACGGGCAATTTACACCTCCTGTAATAAACACGTAATTATTGCTTATGAAGGTTTTAGGACTGCATTATGGGAATGATCTATCTTTGCTCAGGAGTTAGTGGGAAAAAATACTGTCCCCAACCAAGCCTCCTCCTGGACGGTGACGTGCAGCGTGTTTATCCACAGCAGGGGATCGGATCGCAATGGGCTTTTTTTATGTTCAGACGCAGGACTCCCCCCCTCCCCCGCGAAAACCCTCCCCAGTGGGTGGACGATCAAGCGGGTAACACGTCAGACGGTGAGAAGTCGTCCCCGTTCCTGGGGAAGAGACTTCTAACCCTCCTCGCCAGCGCTGGACTGATGTGGGGACCCCGAGGCCGCAGAGCCTGCGGCAGGTTGTACGGACCTGGTGAGAATCTTCGTGCTTATCCAGTCGTCCTAGGAGGGCGGCAACACAGCCTACCACGTCATCAAGTCCCCGTGATGGGGCAGTGAGGGCCGGGACCCCCCAGCCAGCCGAGGACACAGGCGGGTCTGGGCTGGGAGAGCTGCCTGGAGGCCCCGGGCCCGCACGCGCTGTGTTCTGGAGGACGTTACAGGACTTTCGGGAAGCGTTCAGAAGTACCCTGTCTGTGCTCCCATGGGCATGGGCCTGACATCGGGTGCAGCCACGTGATGTGTTTGGGCCCGTTGCAGAGGGATGCCACCACAGTTAGAAAAGCGCTCCGTGGTGAGCCCTGAGAACAGCCTGCCGGCCAGCCCCCTAACCCAGGAGGACAGGAGACACAGGATCTGACCCCAGGCCTGCGGCTCAGCAGGAGCCTCACTTGGCTTAGCCGCTTCCACCCCTTCCCCTGGGTGAGGACCACCAGCCTGTGCCCCTCCAGCTACATCTTCCCCACCACCACTGCCCAGAGAGCCCCCTGCTCCTGGTGCAGAGCGCCTGGCTTCAGGCTGATGAGTTGTCTGGGCTGAGCCAGAAATGGCCTTTGAGAGCAGGTCTAGCTGCTGCCCTGCCAGGGAGAACGCCCTGAGTGACGGCTCTCCAGCATGACGACACGGATAAACTAAGCCTCCCACATACAATAAAACCAGTCTCCCTTCTGTTAGTGTCAGGCGTTGGGTGGGATAAAGATAGGAGTTAGAGTCAAAAAGAACATTTGCAGTTTAAGGCTTTATTGGGAGCTAAGGTTCTGGGTGAGGTTCCGTGACTCAGGGAGTGAGAGGAGTCAGGGAAGTCGCGCCCGGGTATGGTGGGGTAGGGTTTTTAAGCTGCAGCAGTTCTGGGTTTAGGTTCGGGTGGGTCTTTCTTTCGTGCCAGGTTGTGCTGTTGCTCAGTGATTGGTTGACCTTCAGTTTGTTCCGGCGCGCTGGCGAGATGGCCGTCCCCTTCCAGGGACATCCTCACATTCCAACCTCTTATTGGTGATAATGGGCGACGGATCTGATCTGGCTGCTTCCTGCGGGTGTAAGGGCGACGCCATAGTATTTGGGGTCTGAGGTGGGAATGTGGGAATAGGGCAGGACCACCATCTGATGAAATGCGACCTGGGAAACTTCATGAATTCGTTTCTGTACGAAACGGAGAAAACAAGGTAAGAGCATAAGTATTATACAGATAGCAACTAGTGGGGTGACTATGGTGAGGAGCCAAGTTAGGAGGGGTGATTACCACCAGGACGTTAGGGGGTGTGAGGATCCTGGGCAGGCGGATAGAGTTTTTTGGATTTCCTTTAGGTGTTCTATATTGGTTTCAACTAAGCTTGACTCATTGAGGTAGTAGCAACATTCTTCCCTCAGGAACAGGCATGTTCCCCCTTTTTCTGCTGTCAGGAGATCTAGGGCTCGTCGGTTTTGTAGAGTGACCTATGCTAGGGAGTTGATCTGCCTTTGTAAGGCGGATAGGGAGGTTGCTGAGGCTTCTTTTGCGATTTGGAGCCTGTCTGACAGGTCCCTGGAGGAGGTAATGGAGTGTGCGAGGGAGCCGGTCCCAACCCCGGTGGCCAATAGGGAAGTGGCCAGGGATAGTTCGACCATTAGTGGGAGGAAAACGGCTCATTTTTGGAGACAGAATTCGAGGAGTTGATGGAGTTCTTCCTGTCTGTATAGGGTGAGTTGGGGGGTAATGGTGACTGGGAGACAGATAAAAGCATTTTTGGGCATTTGTTTATAAGCTGTGCCATTACACCAATAGAATCCCCCTGAGGGAGGGTCGTGGCTGGGCATAGGCTGGGGGGAGGGGCAAGGTGGGGAGGCATGAGAGGAGTAGCATATTGGGTGACACGTGTTGCCTTGAGGGGTCTCAGTGAGGACGGGAACCTGTAGGGAGATTTGACTTCTGGGGTGGTTGATGGAGTTAGTGGTGTTGGGAAAGGGGGTGGGTAATGGGAAGGCTATTACTGGATCCCGCTGAAGGGATGAGCAAAGAAAGCAGTGTGACAGGTTGGTTAAGCCTGAGTGGTTAAGCAGGATCGCTCCTTGTCTGATTAATGTAAGCCATGAGAAGGGATGTTGTGCCGGGGGTGTCTGTAGTTGTGTGTTGAGCTGGTCTTCTTGGTCTGTGATTACTTGGGTAACATCTTTAAGGTTGGAGAGGGAAGGAGACATTGAGGGCTCATAGGTTCGACAGGTGGTTAAAGAGGAGATGGGGTTAGAGAAATGGCCATTCTGATACAGTTTGCCCTTTATTCCGGTTTGCCAGCAGGTATCCCATGGATCAGGGACAGTAAGGGTAAAGTTGCCATTTTTTAAGCAGAAGTGGCCCATTCTTGGTCCTGTGAAACAGTATAGGTTGAGCCAGTGTATGTTACAATAGTGATAGGGGCATCTTCCATATTGGTCGGGGGAGGTTTGGGAGCATATTTTGTTGGTCTGGTCATATAAAAAGCAAATGGCGGGAGTAATCCGCGTAGAGGCTTGGAGGGTGTTGAAGGAGGGAAATTTAAAGGTGACTTGATTTTGGCACCCAACAAGGGGGCAAGGGGTAGAGGGTATGACAGAGGTGTGTCCATTAAAAGTTTCAGATAGGTAAAAAAAACCCACCTATAGGAGGGTTGTGAGGGCATAAGGGGGATGATGTTAACAAGGAGTAATGGGGAAGTATCATCATGATATATAAGTATGGTTAGCAAAAAGGTAAAGGAGGAGATTTCGACGGGAGAAATCAGAGAGAGTTCCCTGAAGCCAATAGTCGGAGACCCAGGAGAGAAATAAGGGGAGGGTGATGGGGTCGGATGAGTGGGAGAGTTGTAGCTCGTGTAATATTGTGAGTGTGAAGGTGGAAAACCGAGGGGAAGGGTCCGTCATGAGGGGGCCGGTTGGTTGGGAGGTCCATGACTCTTCTGGTATGGGGAGTAAAGGGGGGGCCCGCTTGAGGTCGGAGGTGTGAACCCACGGGGTGTGGCCCAATAATTTAGCAGCCATGGGGGTTGTGAGTATGACTGTGTAGGGACCCTCCCACTGGGGGGCAAGGGTTGGTTTTTGTCTTACTTAAAGGAGCACTGAGTCTCCTGGGTTTACAGATAGGGAGAGGAGAGATCGATGGGAGCTGGTAGAGTGAGGTCAGCGTACTGTCGAATCAGGTGTCGGAGCAGGCTGAGGTAAGGGAGATAGGCAGCCAAAGGAGGAGGATCTTTTGGTAGGGGTTGGGGTAACAGGAAGGGTCGCCCGTATAAGAGTTCAGATGGGCTGAGGCCTGTGGGTCCTCGGGGAGCGGCTCGGAGTTGGGTGAGTGCTATAGGTAGGAGTTGAGGCCAAGAGAGCCGACTCTCTATGGAGGGTTTTATGAGATGGTCTTTTATGAGGCCATTGGCCCTTTCAACCTTACCCGAGGACTGGGGGTGGTATGGTATGTGGAGTTTCCAAGTAATACCCAAAGCTTTGGAGACCTGTTGGGTGACTGCTGAGATGAAAGCGGGCCCGTTGTCAGACCGTATCCTTCTTGGTAGACCAAAGCGGGGGATGATGTCCTTGAGTAGGATCTCAGCCACTGTGGAGGCCCCTTCAGATGAGGTGGGGAAGGCTTCTATCCACCCTGTAAAGGTGTTGATTATAGTAAGGAGATACCGTAATTTTTTGTGTTTTGGCATGTGAGTGAAATCTATTTGCCAGTCTTCGCCTCGGAGATGGCCCCGCATCTGAGGAGTGGGGCCTGGGTGCCTCATTCTCCCTTGGGAACTGACTGCGGCGCATGGGGTGCATCGTTGGTGTGTTTTGGCGATCAGTTGTTGTAGGTGGGGGGTGGTACATAACGGGCTCAAGGAAGCGGAAGGTGGCCTCCGGCCCAATGTGTAGGGTTTTGTGGATTTTTGTTAGTAAGGAAGGGACTAGGCTATTTGGGAGGGTCAGTCGGGGGCCCAGCATGATCTAGCCTGCATCGGTGTGGGCATCGGGATGGGCCATGTATTGTTTTTGTTCATCTGGGGTACAGTCGGGAGTTGTATCTTCGGTGAGGATGCCCATAGGAACTGGGTCGAGAGAGAGAGCTGTTTGTCCGGCAGTGTTGTCAGCCTTGTGATTTCCTATAGCTATCTCTGTGGTTAGGGGTTGGTGGCCCTTGCAGTGGACAATGGCCACTTCCTGTGGGAGTTTGAGGGCCTCAAGGAGTTTCGCTATGAGTGGCCCGTTGATGATGGGGGTACCCTTCGTTGTGAGGAATCCTCTTTCTTCCCATAAGTGGGAGTGTGTGTGTGCAATAAGGAAAGCGTATTTTGAGTCTGTGTATATTGTGACCCTTTTGTTTCTGGACAATTGGAGAGCCCTCATGAGGGCTGTGAGTTCAGCCTTCTCGGATGTGGTTCCTGTGGGTAGTGTCTGGGTCTCTAGAGTTTGGTTTAATGTGACTACAGTGTACGCTGCTCGTCGGTGGCCCTTGCAGTCAACTAGTGAGCTACCGTCTACAAATAGGGTGAGATCAGGGGAAGTGAGGGGAAGGTCCTTTAAGTTAGATGAAGGTTTGGAGAGAGAATATCTGTAAGTTCAGTGCAGGAGTGGAAGGGTGGCTGCAAAGTGTCCTTGGGGTTGATTTGTGGAAGTAGCGTGGCAGGATTGAGTCTGGGGGAGAGTTGGAGAGATATTTCAGGATTTTCAATAAAGAGCAGATGGAACAATTGTATGCGTGATGGGGAGAGGTGTGCCAGGGCCTTATGTGTAAGGAGATCAGATAGAAGGTGCGGTGAAAGTACCGTTAGGGGGCAGTGTAGGGTGTTTGAGTGCATCTTGGGTTAGGGTGGCTGCTGCTGCAAGTGCTCTGAGGCAGGGTTGCCACCCCCTGATGGTAGGGTCCAGTTGTTTAGAAAGGTAGGCGACAGCTTGTAACTTAGGGCCACATGGTTGGGTTAGGAGCCCTGTTGCAATTCCAGCCCTCTCATCTGTGTATAAGAGGAAAGGCTTTGAAACATTAGGGAGGGAAAGGACTGGTTGAGTGACTAGAGATGTGACCAGCCATTGGAAGGCCCTTGCGACCGATCCCAGGCTGGAGAGTGGGCCTTGGGGGGTTTCTTTGGCTGCTTTATATAGTTGTGCTATACACACAACTTTGCTGTGTATATAGCAAAGTTAGGGATCCAGTGTCGGAAGAAGCCCACTAGACCCAGGAAGGAGAGGATTTCGTCTGCATTGGTAGGTGGGGACAGGGTCTGGAGGGCTTGGAGACGATCTTGGGTTAGGGCCTTGGTAGTAGGTCTGAGTGAGACTCCCAGAAATGTGACTGTATTAGTACAGATTTGGGCTTTGTGTGGGGAGACTTGATACCCCAGGTTAGCCAGGAAATTTAGGATCTGGACTGTATCTTGTTTGGTGTGGTCGAAAGAGGTTCCACATAATAGAAGGTCATCTACATACTGTAGTAGAGTACAGTGACTGGAGAGTGGGGCTTTGAGGAGATCCCTGGCCGAGGCCTGCCCAAAGAGATGGGGACTATCACGAAATCCCTGGGGAAGTACCGTCCATGTGAGTTGGCAGGCCAGAGAGGTGACTGGATCTTGCCATGTGAAGGCAAAGAGGAATTGGGACTCAGGATGTAAGGGAATGGTGAAAAAGCCATCTTTGAGATCAAGCACTGTAAAATGGGTTGTGGATGGGGGGATTTGGGAGAGGAGGGTATATGGGTTGGGCACTACTGGGTGGATGGGAATTACAGCTTCATTGATTATTCGGAGGTCTTGAACTAGTCTATATGAGCCATTTGGCTTTTTTACAGGCAAGATCGGGGTGTTGCAGGGGAATGACATGGGATTAGGAGGCCCTCCTTGAGTAAGCGATCGATGATGGGCTTCAGTCCTAGTCGGTGGGTGTGAGAGATTGAGTATTGGGGTCTAGACGGGAATTGTGATGGATTTTTGAGTTTAATGAGGACGGTTGGTGATGGGTGGCGATTGTTGGGGTGGATGTATCCCATATGATTGGGTCTACTGGGAGGTCTGGGTGTGGGTTGAGGCTGTGGCCTGTGTCGTCCGTGATAACAGCCAGTAGAAGATGAGTGGGGGAGGGAGAGGAGCAGATAGCTGGTAAATGTATAGAGGCTCCTAATTTACTGAGGATGTCTCGGCCCAACAGGGGGACGGGGCAGGAGGGGATAACTAGGAAGGAGTGGGAGAAGTGGGGGCCATCCAGGCAGCGGGTGAGTACCGGTGTGCATGGGGGAATGGAGGGGGTGCCATTTATGCCCATGACCGAAACGGAGGATGGCGTAGTGGGGCCGGAATAGCTCGGCAGGACAGAATAGGTAGCCCCTGTGCCCAACAGAAAGGAGATGGACTTACCCGCTACCTGGAGTTTTACCTGGAGTTTTACCTGGAGTTTTACCCTGGGCTCAGCGTGGGTCACCGGAGTTACTGAGTCTGGGCCTCGTCAGTCGTCATCCTCCATCTCCAGCAGTTGGAAGGCAGAGTCCAATCCGGGTGAAGCCTCGCCACGTGGAGGCGTTGCGAGTCTGTCGTCCCCTGGGTTAGGACAATCGGATTTCCAGTGGCCCATTTGCTGGCACAATGGGCATGGACTGGTAGGCTTTTTGGGATGGGGACACTGACGAGACCAATGGCCTTCTTGGCCACATTTAAAACAAGGCCCTGGAGGGGGCCGTGGTCCAGAGGGCTTTACTGCGGCTGGCCTCAGGGCAGCTACCAAGGCTTGGGGTTGTAATTGTACCTTTTGTTGGAGACGGGCCTGTCACTGTTGTTCTTGAGCTTCCTCTCGGCCATTAAAAACTTTAAAAGCCATCTTTACCAGGTCGGCCAGAGGGGTTTGAGGGCCGTCTTCGGCCCTTTTTAGTTTTTTTCGAATATCGGGGGCTGATTGGGAAATAAAATAGGTGGCCGATACCGTGGCCCCGGCGGGGGTGGTAGGGTCTAGTCTGGTATATTGGGTAAGTGCCTCTGTGAGCCGGCTAAGGAAGGCTGCGGGGTTTTCATGGGGGTCTTGTATTATTTCTTGAAGTTTGTTAAAATTTACTGATTTGTTTGAGGTTGCCCTCATGCCTGCTAGTAGGCATTGGATCATCTGGTCCCGGTGCCGGTGACCGTTGCCTGCATGTTGGTAGTTCCAATTGGGATTGGCCACCGGGACAGCATTGGCCCCCACGGGCATTGTGGGGTCGGTCACGTGGGTTTGGTCTGCATGCTCTCTGGCTGCGGCCTGGATGCACTCCCTCTCCTCAGGGGTGAGGGTAGAGGTGAGGATCACATGAATGTCATGCCATGTGAGACTGTAGGCTTGGGCGAGGTATTGGAATTCCTTAATGTATTGGGTGGGGTCTGCTGAGAATGACCCTAGTCGCTTCTCAATGGCGGACGAGTCTTGGAGGGAGAAGGGGACGTGAACGTGACCCAGGCCTTCAGGTCCTGCCACCTCACGGAGAGGTACGATGGCCGCTGGGGTCTGTTTGCTGGGAGAGGCCTGAGCACGAGTTCGGGATGATATGGGAGGTGAGGGCGGGACGGCTGGGGGTTGGGAGTACGGAGTGGGGCGAGGGCCGGTGGGCGGTGTGGCTAGATCCTCTAACGGGTTTGAGATGGGGGAAGTTGGTGAGGTGGGGTCGTTGGGGGATTGTGGACGGGCAAGGAGCACGCATGCAGAGGGGCAGGAGGAACATAGGTGGGGGCGAGACCTGAGGTCCCAAAAGGCCATAATGTAGGGTATTTCTCCCCATTTTCCCAGCCGATGGCAGAAATTGTCCAGATCGGTTAAGATTTGTTATTGTAAAGACCCCTCAGGTGGCCATTGAGGATCATTATTTAATTTGTATTGAGGCCAGACTACAGTGCAAACGCGGATGAATCGGTTACAAAGAAGTTCGCCTTGTAAGCCCAGGAACCGGAAGTTTTAACAGACATTGGAGGGGGGTAAGAGATCGAGGTGGTTTAGACTCATTACTCCCCATTGGTGTGGCAAGGCCTCACGTTGCAATAGGGGCCTATTGGCGTGCGGGCCTTTCGGCATGCGGAGGAAAGGAGACTGACTTGTGAGACGTCTCTCATGGGCATCAGCTGTAGTTGGAGGGGGGAAGGAGGGGTCTGTCCTACCTACCGGCTCCTGTAGGCTCTTGAGAGTAGGGTGGTTGGCATCTGGCTTGGTGAGGAGGGGGGAGTTCAGCCAAGGGAGGCGAGCTACTACCTCTCCTGGGTTTCGGCACCAAATGTTAGTGTCAGGCGTTGGGCGGGGTAAAGATAGGAGTTAGAGTCAAAGAGAATTTTGCAGTTTAAGGCTTTATTGAGAACTAAGGTTCCTGGTGAGGTTCCGTGACTCAGGGAGTGAGAGGAGTCAGGGAAGTCGCGCCCGGGTATGGTGGGGTAGGGTTTTTAAGCTGCAGCAGTTCTGGGTTTAGGTTCGGGTGGGTCTTTCTTTCGTGCCAGGTTGTGCTGTTGCTCAGTGATTGGTTGACCTTCATCTCGTTCCGGCGCGCTGGCGAGATGGCCGTCCCCTTCCAGGGACATCCTAACACCTTCCATCCAGGCTTTCCTCCTGAAGGCGGGCACTTAGCACAATCTACACTTTTCTTTTTTTAAAGTGTAATTTTTTTTAAATGTTTATTTATTTTTGAGAGAGAGAGAGACAGAGCATGAACGGGGGAGGGTCAGAGAGAGAGGGAGACACAGAATCCGAAGCAGTCTCCAGGCTTGAGCTGTCAGCAGAGCCCGACGCGGGGCTCAAACTCACGGACTGTGAGATAATGACCTGAGCCAAAGTCGGACGCTTAACCGACTGAGCCACCCAGGCGCCCCCACAATCTACACTTTTAAGATCAGGTTTGTGAACAATGGGTTTGCCCGTCCTGCTTCCAGAAGCTCGGGCACAGCAGGTTCTCCGGGCCACCTGCAGAGCAGGGTATGTGCCCCCAACAGCCTGTTCCCGAGGGCAGCACCGTGCCCTCTGGCACCACTCACGGGGAAACCAGGGGCTTGGGCAGGCCCCCGTGCTCCCTAATTCGGCCCTTTTGTCCCCAACACTTTCCTTGAAATCACGGGTCAGAATGACCATGCCTGGCGTGGACTTGTTCAGTTCACACGGGCTGGACCTGTGGGCACCTGGCTTTTTTGAGAAATGCCGTGAAATTCCCACTTTGCTTCTGTTCTCTGTTTCTACCCACTCTGCTGAGTTACCACGCATCTAAAAGAGAAGGCGTATGCTGATAAATTGGGGCAAGTGTGTATCCATGTAAACCATCACACAAAGTGATGAGCACATTCAGGACCCCTCAACTTCCCTCGTTCCCTTTTGTCACCCGCCGGCCGCCCAGCAGCAGGTGCTCTGCGTGCGGTCGCCATGATGTACTTCGACTTCCTAGAACGTCATGTGAACAGAGTCCTGCCATTGGTACTCACTTTGGCTTCTCTTCCTCAAAATAATGGTTTTCACCTCATCCATAGAGTTGCGTATCTGTGGCTCACCCCTCTGGTGCTGAGCAGGTGCGTGTGTGGACGGACCACAGCTTGTTGATCCAGTGAGCTGGGGATGGATGTTCGGTTATTTCCGGTCTCGCTCATGACAAACAAAGCTGCTCGTTTGTAGAGGTGTTTGCTTTTTATTTATTTTTTTAATATATATTTTTAAATGTTTATTTATTTTTAAGAGAGAGAGAGAGATAGAGCATGAGTGGGAGAAGGGCAGAGAGAGAGGGAGACAGAATCTGAAGCAGGCTCCAGGCTCTGAGCCGTCAGCACAGAGCCAGACGCGGGGCTTGAACTCACAAACTGTGAGATCATGACCTGAGCGCAAAGTTGGACCCTTAACCGACCCAGGCGCCCTTGTAGAGGTGTTTTTATTGTAGGCATTTGCTCTCAGTTTCCCGGGTGAGAATGTGGGAATGAACTGGCTGGGTTGCGTGCATGTGTGTGTGTGAGAGAGAGAGAGGGAGAGAGAGAGAGAGAGACCGTCTGAGCAGCCGGCATATTGTTTTCTGGAATCGTACCATGTCACAGGATCACTCACAGGGCATGAGACCTCTGGTTGGTTCACACCCTCAGCAGCACTCTGTCACAGGTCTGAGATGTTGGCCATTCTAATAAGTGCGCAAGGGTATGTTAAAATACCTTTTCGGGGTATAATGTACATATCACACATTCAAGGATTTTTAGTGAGTTTAAAGAGTTGCAGAGTGCCGCCACAATCCAGTTTTGGAACATTTGATCTGTGGTCTGCTTTTGCCGTATTTTCGTAAAAGGTACAAGGCTTCTGGTTGATACTCAATTTGTATATGAGTGTCCAATCTTTCCAACACCATTAGTTGCACAGACTATACTTACTCCATTGGATTACTATTCAACTTTGTAAAGAGTGAGTTTCCATGGTATTGTGGGTCTGTTTCTGGATTGTATGTTTTGTTCCCTCAATTACATTTCTACTCTTTGTGGATACCTCACTCTCTTGATTCCTGTAACTTTATATGAATTACTAAGATTGGCTAGAGCATTCTTCCAGCTCTTTCTTCCTCAAAATTGTTCTGATTGTTCTCTTCCTTTGCCTTTTCATATGAATTTCAGGATCAGCTTGTCACTCCCTACACATGACTCCTATGAGAATTTATTGTTCTGCGTGATACATAGGTTCTTTGGGGAAGAAGATGTCCCTACTCCCGCATCCTCAAATACGTGAGCGTGGGTGCTCAGTCGGCAGACGGGGGTGGCCCTGGGGATCCGGCAGGAGGACCGAGTGGGTCTGCTCCCCAAATTAGCAGGCCTGAGCGGCCAGCACACAAGGCCTCATGTCACTTGTCCTTGGGCAGAATTGCCTTCACTGACCCGACGTCTGGGGCAGGTGCTTCAGGCTGTGTCTGGGTGCAGGCCCACAGGGGTCTCCAGCAGGGAAGCGAATCTGGGGAGGATCAAGGGAAGGAGACAGTGGCCCAGTTGATAGAAGAACACAGGCTGCCGGGACATTCAGTCCACAGACCCGATTGCGCCCAGGTGCACATTTCTCTATTTCCCATAACCGGACTCATTGTATGTTTGAGCCAACGTTATGACTGATGCGAACAATGTAATTTAGCAATTCCTAAGGGAATTCAGACAAGATCCAAGTAACGTTCCAGGAGCTTTGCGAAAAAATCCCAGGAGCTACCCGCAGCCGTGACCCTGAACAGGAGTGTGGGCGCTCAGGCAGCAGGAGGTGCCGTGTCCACTGCTGGAGCCCAAGGTGGGGACCCTCCCTGCCCCTGCCCTGCCCCCGCTCTGCCCCTGCTGAGAGCAGAGTGGACAACTGCAGGGGGTGGGGACGGGACCGTGGGGTCTCGACCCTGCAGCCTGAGAACCCTTCTCGGGTCCCCGGTCCTGACTCCCTCCTAAGCCCAGCCTCTGTGTCAGGATGTTCATGACGGGAAAGGTGTAGAGGGAACTTTCCAGAGCCTCTCTGGACCCCATGATGGAAATGGTGCAGCCAGGAGACAAGGCCATAGGTGTCCCTGTGCACAGTGCACATCCACTGCCGGGGCCACGCTGAAGGGTGAGCGTGTGTCCTGGGGTCACTCACACATCTCAGCATGTGATATCAAAACATTGGGGTCCTCCAGGACCAAAAGCGGGAGCGTGCAGCGCACTCTGGGACAGCGCTCGATGGCAGGCCCTGCAGAGACTAGCTGGTCGTGCAGATGTGTTATTTACACCCGGGGTCTCTGCTGTGTGTGGAGTGACAGGGGCAGGTGGTGAAATGTGCTTTATAACACGGTTGCATTTAGGTGTGAGGAGGGGTGTATATATTCCACGCGGTACGCGTGTGCTCTTTTTTGACCGAAGCAGAATTGACACAGTGTTGTGTTAGCGAAGTGTGCGAGGACGCAGTGATTCAGCAGTTCTGCGCGCTACCCGGCGCTCACCATGGGAAGCGTCGGCACGGCTGTCACCAGACGGCGTTGTTCCGGGCTTCTTGAGCGTATGCCCTCCGCTGGGCTTTTCGTCTCCGTGAC